TCAAGTCCCAACTGCTACTTTTCTCTTCCTTTGTTTTAAGTATAAACCAGTAGAGCTACAGTCTCGACAGTTTTTTGTCCCCCGCTTGAAGGGTTCTCGAGATATCGTGTGGAAACGAAAGCGTTACAGACAGACAGAAAAACGGACAGCTAGACGGACGGACGGACAGACCCAAATTAATTAATATCCCCCACTTTTCAAGCGGGGGACAAAAATGACGAATAAATCCATTATGAAAAGAAATTCTGTGTATGGCTTTTAACCTAACAGTTCTTGACAAAGATGACCCAAAGGGCTAAGCTACTTCACATCTTCTCATTCGGAATTCTCTGGAAACTCCAATGGGTCAACACAAAAACTTCACTATACCCCCCCCCCCTCCCCTCTTCGTTTCTTTACCTATGTGTCTGTAAAATACATTTTTCACAAAAAATATAATTTTATCACACCCAGCCTCGATAAACATTAAAAAATTCAGCAAAATAAATCATTTGATCACGGACCTTCCTTTGTGTGTTTAAAAATTGCTACGGCGCTAGCTCACCTTTCTTTTTGTCCCCCGCTTGAAAAGTGGGGGATATTAATTTGGGTTTGTCCGTCCGTCCGTCTTTCTGTCTGTCTGTAAGCTTTCGTTTCCACACGATATCTCGAGAACCCTTTGAGCTTTTGCAATGAAATTTAGCATAGCAACTCCCTATGGACTAAAGAAGACCCCTATTGATTTTGAGGTCAAAAGGTCAAAGGTCAAGGTCATAAATTCGCATATTCTGTCTGTTATAACACTTTCGTTTCCACACAATATCTCTAGAACCATTTGAGCTATTGCAATGAAATTTTACATAACAACTCCCTGTGGCCTTATGAAGACACCTATTGATTTTGAGGTCAAAGTTCAAGGTCGTAAATTTATACATTCTGTCTGTGTGTAACACTATCATTTCTGGGCGATATTTCAAGAAGACTTTGAGCTTATGCAATATAATTTTACACCAAAACTCCCTAGGACCTCTCTCACCCTCTCAAAGTGCCCCACCCCGTTTGTTTTATTAGTATTTATATTATTACATGTCGCTATTTTTAGCACAGAGGCATGAGGAGAGTTATAGTCCCCCGCTTGAAAAGTGGGGGATATTAATTTGGGTTTGTCCGTCCGTCCGTCCGTCCGTCTTTCTGTCTGTCTGTAACGCTTTCGTTTCCACACGATATCTCGAGAACCCTTTGAGCTTTTGCAATGAAATTTAGCATAGCAACTCCCTATGCACTAAAGAAGACCCCTATTGATTTTGAGGTCAAAAGGTCAAAGGTCAAGGTCATAAATAAGCAAATTCTGTCTGTTAAAACACTTTCGTTTCCACACGATATCTCTGGAACCATTTGAGCTATTGCAATGAAATTTTACATAACAACTCCCTGTGGCCTAATGAAGACCCCTATTGATTTTGAGGTCAAAAGGTCAAAGTTCAAGGTCGTAAATTTATACATTCTGTCTGTGTGTAACACTATCATTTCCGGGCGATATTTCAAGAAGATTTTGAGCTTATGCAATGTAATTTTATACCAAAACTCCCTAGGACGTCTCTCGCCCCTCTCAAAGTGCCCCGCCCCGTTTGTTTTATTAGTATTTATAGTATTACTTGTCGCTATTTTCAGCGCAGGGGCATGAGGAGAGTTATTGCGTATAAAACAGGTTCTCAGCGGACTTTATGTTCTTATTACATCTATTAGAACTGTTTAATAAAGGCTAAATAAATCAAACACCATGGATTGTGTAAAATTTTGAGAATGCCGAACATGAAAACATGAATATATACATGTATGTGACTTCAGTTCTGCATATATACTTCGCACCTTGTGAAGCGACACCGTGGTGTAGTGGTTATGTCTCTCGCTTCAAATGGGAGACGTACCGGGATCGATACTCGGTCGATTCTTTCTTCTTTTTTTTTTTTAAATACTTTTTTTTTTAACTAGATGATAGTATTCAGCATGTGAAATGAAAAATTTATGAGGTTATAAAATCATCATTACAGTGTGATAAATATTCCATATAAAAAAAATCTTCTATACACATAATAAAGAATAAGCAATCAAATCTTTATATGCATATTGACATACATGTATTTTATTTGCTTCAGTATACATGTATACATTTAATAATTCTACAAATTCAGTCAGGGGGATCCGACTTTTTCCCTAAGCGGGGGACACGAATTCTCTGAATTAGCTTGTTGCGTATAAAACAGGTTCTTGGGGGACTTTGTGTTCTTATTACATCTATTAGAACTGTTTAATAAAGGCTAAATAAATCAAACACCGTGGATTGTGTAAAATTTTGAGAATACCGAACATGAATATATACATGTATGTGACTTCTGTTTCGCATATACTTAATGACATGTAAATCGATGACGTGGTCTAGTGGTATGTCTCTTGCTTCATATGCGAAAGGTTCCAGGATCGAATCTCGGTCGATCTTTTTTTTTTTTAAAATACTTTTCTTTCTTTTTTTTTTTACTAAATGATAGTATTCAACATGTGAAATGAAAAATTTATGAGGTTATAAAATCATCATTACAGTGTGATATATATTCCATATAAAAAGAATCTTCCATACACATAATAAAGAATAAGCAATCAAATCTTTATATGCATTTTGACATACATGTATTTTATTTGCTTCAGTATACATGTATACATTTAATAATTCTACAAATTCAGTCAGGGGGATCCGACTTTTTCCCTAAGCGGGGGACACGAATTCTCTGAATTAGCTTGTTTAAAAGATAAACTTGTATGTCTTTTAGACCACAAGGGCGGATTCAGGGGGGTTTGGGGGGGGGGGGGTCTGGAAAACCCCCCCGCTCATTGAATTTTTTTTTTTTTACACGTGTCATTTTATCATTTTGTTGCATTGAGAAGACTCTAATAAACATGAACCCTTTGTTTGTACAACTGTGAAATCAATTAGTACGTAACAGGGAATCACTTTCCACTTGAACGCACACAATACACAGGTAATCAACTGAGAGAGTCAGTGCCTCAGAGATCGGGTAGTCCGTGCATCTAGTATCACAGTACAATGTAGTCATGTACCAACAACTGAAAACTGCATATATATATATATATATATATATATATATATATATATATATATATATATATATATATATATATATATATATATATATATATACGGTGCTGCTCAGTAATATTCCTTTGCTGATAAAATGCATGTTTTAACGAATAAACTATTATGCACGTGTTTTTTTTTTTTACCGTTTTAAAAATTAAATTAATATAATTTTTTTTTTACAAAACCAGGTTGGCTTAGCAAACCCCTCTAGTTTTGACAGATTCTCCTGTTTATGTAATTTTTTCTTCAGTTTGAAATTTCATTAATTGTACACGTGTGTTTATTTTCCAAATCATATTAACAGTATATACTCAAGTAAGTTGAAAAGCACAAGAATTCTGAAAAGAATTCAGTTTTTTTTTTTTAATTTTTTTTTAGTGTTTAAAAATTTTGCACATCATAGTTGTATTTTGGAAGTCAGCTCGACATAGGACTAAATTAATTGTATTGTGCATTTAAAGTGAAGACAACTTGAAGTCAACTGCTTGCATTCCTAAAATTGTCAGATTTAACAATTTTATTAAAAAATTGTGATGATCAGTCTTTAAAACAGCTACAAAAAGTACCCCCAAAATGCTGGGAAATGCACCAAAATGCTCGACATAGGACTAAATTAATTGTATTGTGCATTTAAAGTGAAGACAACTTGAAGTCAACTGCTTGCATTCCTAAAATTGTCAGATTTAACAATTTTATTAAAAAATTGTGATGATCAGTCTTTAAAACAGCTACAAAAAGTACCCCCAAAATGCTGGAAAATGCTGGAAAATGCACCATTTAGAACCATTTAAAACAAAATTTTCTCGTGGGAGGCACGAACCCCCACCTATGGGAGGGGGACACCCCCTCCCATGCCCTCCCCCTTCCGCCACTGGACCACTGTGTTATTACTTAAGTATATTTCGTTACACCCGATTGCACACTCGAAACTCCTGCCCGACATGTAGTACTCCTTTCGTGGTCTTAGATATTTGCGTTTATTTTCTTGTTTTTATGTGCATTTTCTGTTTGTAGATAATGTATTGACCTGTATTTTCCATGATACTTTTGTCCTGTTTTGGAAAAAATACGTAAATTTCATCGAGATTGAGTAGCACGCTTTGTATGATGAAAATGGCGCTTTAGTCTTATTTAAAGTAATTAAAAAAGCCCTCTAGTGGATGTTAATTCCGGAATGTTGCAATATGTAGATGTGCATTTTTTCAGGAAATTCCGATTCCGTAATTTTTCTGAGAATTTTGGCACTTTTCAACCCAAATTTTGGCCATACCTTGAATATAGAGATAAACAGTTTGTCAGTGCAACTCAGGACTGTTAAACCGCTGCACAGAATATTGTCAAACTTTTCAGATACTTAGTACATAGTGTGTTGATGTGCATATTACCAGGAAATTCCGATTACTTCATTTTCCTGGGATTTTCCGCACATGTAGCTATACATGTTTTCTATAGCATATAATTATTATATCTTCAAAATGGGGGGAGGGGGTTTCCCTCCTCGTTATGTTTCCTACAACCATAAAAAAGAAAACTACAAGTAATATGGGCTAATAATCTATGTAGAATAAAATCATATCAAAGATTTATTTCGAGTTGAACTTTTTTGATTATTAACAGAATAATTTCTCTCTGGACACAGAATTATGTTGATCGCACTGAATTCAACTTTTCTAAGTTCTTCATATAATAGTAAATTTTTCTCACGTCAGACACGCTTTCTAAGAAAGCTAATACTTGTCTAGTTATTCATAATAAAATAATTCCTTAACGAATTGACTTCTGATTTGTGTACGAGTTAACTTCTTCTGTACGACTCGGTTTGTGAACGAGTTAACTGGAGACCCCAGTAAGAGGTTGCAAATGATAATTTAAAGCGTTTTTAATATGTCTCTGCTTTAACGTAATAGCGATAATCTTTCTTTTTACACCTGATGTAAACATTGTAATGTGATAAGCAGGACACGAGGCTACATTTTTGAGGAGATCGAATAGAAAAATCATGGCAGCAGTTATATCTGGTACTGTCCTGGCTTCCTTGTTCTTTGACCATGCCGACATAAAGGGAGAACTGGTATGTTTTATGAATTTTTACAAATCCAGCGAAATTTTTTGATTAAGTTATAGATTTATAGCTTAAAATAGCCTTATTGAAATATTCAGAAGGGCTTGTTATTGGCCAAATACATTTCGTATTGCGATTGGCCTAGTATTTGCCTAACAGCTGTACAGTCATTTTGCCAGTATTAACGAATCGGTTTCTAGTTACGTCTTAAAAACAACCCACATCTTTGAATTTCAAAATTTTCTTTGTTGTTGTTTAAATTTTTTTTCTAAACTTTATAAATAAGTGGTACTAAAATTTCCAGAATTTTATTGATAAAGGTTCACAGCTGTCCGAAACAACACCTATTTTCCCAGTTTCGAATCGATTTTTTAGTGTCGAATCAGGTCCTTTATTGATGCTGACTTGATAAATGAAACCAATTGTTGATTGGTTGATAGAAATTATTGTAGACATACACCTTCAAGAAAATTCTACATAAACTACTGTATATATCAGAGACCAACCTAGACCCCAAATTTAGGGAGACTTCACTTCTCCCTCAGAGAAATTTAGGGAGAAGTTTTGAAATTTAGGGAGACTTCTTGGCGCACGTGACGCCCACTGATCATTATAAAACTTTTTAAAAATGAAACTATCTTCGTTTATAACTTAAAATACATTTCAATAATTTTTTTGTATTGACATCCTAGGAAAAATAATTTTAAAAAGAGAAAATAATTCATAATCTGAATTTTTTTTCCAATTACAAGGTATATCTAGCAAAAAAAAAAAAATCCAATGACAATGTAAATTAAGTTTTTTTTTTTTTCATTTCCTGCATAATATGCACAATTAACTTTTAAATTCTATCACATTTTAAATTTTCAGCCTCATTGCATAGTCATAATTTTGTTATTTTCTCTTCAAAATTTGTTTACAATATTTAATTTTTTTTCTGAAAAAAGTTATGATGTACTACGTAAGCATGCTGATTGAACTCTGTAATTCAGATATGTAATTTCTTAGACGTTCAATAACTCCACAATTTAAAAGTAAAAATATGTCTGTATTCACAGCATGAATTAATTATTTAGCAATAAAAAGATCTAAAATCATTTTCAACATCTTTGGCATGACATCGATAGTTGACCAGCTGTTTTGTGCATAACTTGTAACTATGGACTTTTTCATACCTGGAAGCGTAAAATCTAGAGGAGTTCGGACAGAGTATTCGATGCATTGGTCATCGGTAGCGAAACAGGTGCAAGTGTCCTGCTGTTTCGTTTATTTCAGCAGTAATAAAACAAGATTTATAACTGACTGACGATTCTACCATGTTTCTTAATAGATTTTTTTATGATTCTCAATTCAGGAATTGCAAATGTTAAGGTGACTTAAACTTCACTTTCATGATAAATTACGGCGAAGTTTGGAGCCCAAAAGCGATTATTTTGCCTCAGTGGTCCCCTAGGTTGGTCCTTGTATATGCATTAATTGTTGATTCATATGATTAGGTGATCTTGAGTCGGACACGATCTAGAGTCGGACGATTTTGACGCTATTTTTAACAGACTTCCGATAATGAATCCACCCTCTGTCGAGATTGACAGAATCAAGCAATTCTTAATCTATTAAGAGTTGTCTTTCTTCATCGAAAGACAATGTTGCAGTGTTTATGATATTTGACTTTAGGAAGCACTAATCACCAGGGATTTCGAAGACCCGCTCAGCAATATTTTGATAAATCAAACACTTGGAACTTATCATATCATGAAAAAGAATTTAATTTGAAAGTTAAAATTAGGCATAAACTATGCAGTAAACATTGTAAATACACAATTATATATTGTTTTATGAAATATTTCATTCTTTTTCCAAGAAATTAAGTTCGGGTGCAGTGACTCATTTTGATCTTGAGTCGGACAGTAAATTTTAGCTATTCGATGCTAAGTCGGACACTATCAGAATTTATATGAAACTTACCACATATATAATTGCTTGAGAAATTTTATGAATTAAGCCAAATGTTTGAATTCTCCTGTTAAAGATAACCCTAAAATTCCTTCTTTTAAAGAAATATTTAAAATTAATTAAATTGATTTAATTCAGAAAGGAATAGGGGTGAGGCTATGATGGAAGATTTATAAAGCATATTGTTGTATTGGAAATTGTATATCCCAACATGCGGGGTGTATACTATGTTGTGCGTGGGGTGTACAGAGTTGGCGAAAGAGGTAAAAAATCTGTCTGACACAGTGTCGTAGAGATTGTTAAAAAAATCACAAAAATTACAGGACATGCTAAAAATTTGCCAGACCAAATGTAAAATCAACAAAATGTAAAGCTAAAATCGATATGTGATTGGCAGAACTCTCGCGGTGGAGGTAGAAAATGTTTTTGGATGAGGACATTGTGCTAACCAGTGAACACAATGCAGAATGGATCATTCAGTGGAGTTCATATAGACAAATAAGAAATTTTCTTGCTTATTATTCCCTGAATCACCGCAATAAATCTTGTAGAGGAGCTAGTCCTCAGATGATACATTTTTTACGATATTTTTCTTTAAGCTCATTTAATTTTTATTGGTAGTAAGTTAGATAACTGAGATGTACTAGCCATACTACTACGTGTTGCAATACTTGGTGTAAAACTCTTACAGATTCAATTTCACAAAGTTTTGAAAAAAAATAATGCATTATTTCATTTCTTTAATTATACTTTACTATTGATTATACTGAAATATCTACCGGACACTGTGTCCAGCATGGTTCTTGAAACTATCAGACTCAAGCGAAATTTACCGGAGATCGCCGATGGGCCGGTGTCTTTCGCCAACTCTGGGTGTATGCTTTGAGAGATACGAGAGAAAGGGGGTCAATGTAAGTTCTTCTCAAGAACCACTGGGCCAATTTTAACCAAACTTGGTACAAAGCATCCTTAGGTGAAGGGGAATTTAAATTGTTGAAATATAGGGCCAGGCCCCTTTCCAAGGGGAGATAATCAAGAAAATACAAAAATAGGGTGGGGTCATATAAAAATCTTCTTCTTAAGAACCACTGGGCCAGAAAAGCTGAAATTTATGTGGAAGCATCCTGGGGTAGTGCAGATTCTACAGCGATTTTTTCCACTCATTGGGAAAGAGTCCGGTACCGGTTCAATTGGGAAAATAGCATCGAAGAAAAACAAAGAAGAATTTTCTTTTATTTATGTAAATGCAACGTATTTTGCGTTTATTTCAACTTAATTACCCATGATTACCTATTACTGCTAGTTTTAAAGAAAAAACAACAAATACTTATTGTTTTTTATATCAACGTCCCTTATTTTCACATTTTCATGCTTTCAATTTGTCAAAATGTATGACACTACGCTGTCTAACCACTCAGGTCCCGCCAAATTACTACTTTCTCTACTTTCGATTTAAGCGGAAGTGAAACAATTAGTCAACTTGTACAATGTTTCATTTAACAAGAAATACGATGTCGTCGTAATCTTTTGCCTCACAGTTGAATTGGGAATTTTTAGTCACAGAATTGGGAAAAATTATCAATTTTTGGCATTGGGAACGGTGCCGTTTATCGGTACAAGTTATATAAAGAAAAAAAACGCTGTTCTAAATTGTACAAATCATGACCCCCGGGTGTAGGGCGGGGCCACAATAGGGAATCCAAGTTTTACATAGAAATATATAGGAACAATCTTTAAAAATTTTCTTCTCAAGAACCAGTGGGCAAAGAATGCTGAAACTTATGTGGAAACATCTTTGGGGTAGTGTAGATTCTAAATTGTACAAATCATGACCCCCGGGGGTAGGGCGGGGCCACAATAGGGAATCCAAGTTTTACATAGAAATATTTAGGAACAATCTTTGAAAATCTTCTTCTCAAGAACCAGTGTGCCAGAAAAGCTGAAACTTATGTGGAAGCATCCTAAGGTAGTGTAGATTCTAAGTTGTAACAATCATCACCCCTGGGGTTAGGGCGAAGCCACAATAGGGAATCCAAGTTTTACATAGAAATATATAGGAACAATCTTTAAAAATCTTCTTCTCAAGAACCAGTGAGCCAGGAATGCTGAAACTTATGTTGAGGCATCCTAGGGTTGTGTAGATTTTAAATTATAAAAATCATGACCCCCGGGGGTAGGGCGGGGCCACAATAGGGAATCCAAGTTTTACATAGAAATATATAGGAACAATCTTTAAAAATCTTCTTCTCAAGAACCAGTGGGCCAGAAAAGCTGAAACTTATATGGAAGAATCCTGGGGTAGTTAAGATTCTAAATTGTTAAAATCATGACCCCCTTGGGTTAGGGTGGGGCCTCAAGAGGGAATCCAAGTTTTATATAGATATATATTGGAAAAAATCTTCTTCTCAAGCACAAGTGGGCCAGGAAAGCTGAAACCTATGTCAAAGCATCCTGGGGTAGTGTAGATTTTAAATTATTAAATTCAAGATGGGGGTCCGGAGGGGTTGGGGTTGGGGTAGGTACCACAATATATGTAAGAAGAGGGGAAATCTGAGAAAGAACTGTATCACTGAAGTTACTCAGGTGAGCAATGTGGCCCAGGGGCCTCTTGTTGTATTTACCTAACTACTTGTAAGATTTTTATGCCCCCCTTCGAAGAAGGGAGGGCATATTGCTTTGCTGCTGTCTGTCGGTCGGTCGGTCTGTCGGTCCACTTAGTTTCCGTTCATTTTCTTCGCAACCGTTGTACATACTGATATGAAATTTGGTATACAGATATATCACATGAATATCTAGGTCAAGTTCTGTTATGGGTACGATCGCACCATTTTTGTCAGAGTTATGCCCCCTGAACTTAGAAAAATTTCAATTATTTGCAGTTTCCGTTCATTTTCTTCGCAACCATTGTACATACTGAAATGAAATTTGGTATACAGATATATCACATGAATATCTAGGTCGACTTCTGTTTTGGGTACAATCGCACCAATTTTGACAGAGTTATGCCCCCTGAACTTAGAAAAATTTCAATTATTTGCAGTTTCCATTCATTTCCT